CTGCTTCTCTGTAGTGACTCCTCATTAGATGAGCTGCCTTTGCTCCCACAGGTGACTGTGAGGACAGTGGGGGCTGGTGGGTGCAGAAGCTGGCTGTAAAGCACGAAAAGCGGCCCCTCCGTATCGCTGTGAGGAACCCTGGACACTGAGGGCTGGCCGGCCTCCAGGTCTAGTCTGATAGGGTGTCTCCTAGGTGACTTCTATTCAGTTTCTTGTAATATCCCAGGTGCCTCCCTTCTCTGCCATAACCCAGTCTATTTTTCTAGCTTGCAGAGAGTGCCGAAGGGAACTAGAGGAGACTGGGCATCTAGTTTTACTTCTACAAAGGTGAGGAGCTTTCCACTTCCATCCCCTTCATCTCCAGGACAGAGGGTGAGAGGCCATGTTGGGATGGCTGACTTTGTGAACCCAGCTGGACAAGCGGGGGAGTTGAGGGGCTGTGGACCCTGCCAACCTACCCACCTTCTGGGTCTGTCTGCTCCTGGCTGTAGCTTGTGTCTCCTGTTTTCTGCAGCCTCCTACACAAGCTCCCTGGAAACGCCAGATCCAATGAGCTCTCTCATGGAGATGCCCCAGGTGAGGTGTTCACACCAGGGCCTGCTGGAGCCAATTGCCCACCCGGGCCCTGGGCAGCAGCTCCCCCTTCTTCTAGGCCTTTATCCACCTTGCCTTCCCTGGCTTCCAGAATCCAGCATTCACTGGCCTCCACCCTCTCTATAGAACCCCAAGAAGAGAAGCCCGCCTTGAGGAGAGTGTTGCCAGGCACTGGACCCCAGGACTCTCTGCTCAGTAAATCCTGTCTGGCATCTCTCATCGCGGCTCTCCCAGGCCCTGCCCACCTTCACCGTTGCCTTTCTTTCTTCTCCTGGTGCTGGGCAACTGCCAAGGCCACATTGTCCTTCACCTGGGCACATGGCACATCCCAGAAAGGACATCTGCCTCACCAGCCACTAGACACTGTGTTCTGGACTGGCCCCACCCACTGGCAGGCAGAGGCAGGAAGAGGGGACCACTCTTTCATCCTCCCTGACGTGCAGAAGCTGTTGGAGATGCTGATCAGTGAGAAAGTCAAACAGAAAATGTGCCAGGAAAAGCGACAGGGTAGCTCTTTTTTCCAACCATTGAACACAGACTACCCTCGGGCTTCTCTGAGCAACCTGTTAAGGTTACTGGGTGACAAGCTCACCTCAGCACGGCCCTTGTGCAGCACAAAGGCTAAGCCAGCATGGCTTCTTGGGCCTCCTCAGCAGCCCTCCATCCCCAAGGTCCTGGGAAGCCCATTAGAGCACGAACGCAGCTTACTCTTCTGGGGCCTGCCCTCTCTGCACAATGAGTCCCTGGTGGCCACTGCCTGGGTCGCTAAAAGGTCTTCGTCTAGCCGATCTCGGTCCATCAAGTTTAATGATGCTCCTACTGACATCCCAGGTCAATCTCGGTGGAACTTGCCCCCGTTTCTGCCTTATGCCCAGCCCCAGGCCCAAATCCCGTGCTTTCCCCCAAAGCCACAGTCAACCTCTCCATCCCAGGTCAGGGTCTGTGGAACAACTTGCTCTGCATCCCAGAAGAAGGCACAGTCTTTTCTTCCCAAAGAAAATCAGGACCTCGAATGGACCCTGCAGAAGCCACAGAAATGGAGAAAAGCTTTAGATACTAAGCTCCAAAAAGCTCAAGAACCCATTAGCCTACCCACGCTCAACCTTCCTCAGGGCAGCCAGGCCTCTGAGGCCCCTCGGTCTGCCTTTGTCCCTTCTGGGGATTCTCCTAGCACTGAACTCCAGCAGAAACCACAGTGCCACAGGCCAGCAGCATTCAGCAGAGCTGAGCGGAGTGTGGCCCCGCCCCACTCTGCCTTCAGGTTCCTGCCATCCCAAGATCCCTTGCAGCCTCTGGGCAAACTCCCACGGAAGAATCAGGACCAGGCACAGCACAGCCGAGCACGTACACAGTCCACCCTGCCCTTAGCACCTACTTGTGGAAAGAGCAAAGTTGTCCAGAATACAGGGCCTCAGCCCCCTGGCAGCCCCTTTAGTAAGGGTCTGGTACCCCTCAAACAAGAGGACAGAAGGAATGTGCAGCAAAATGCAAGCAAAGTCAGGAAAGATGCATCCCGAGGTACAGGAAGCTCCACATGTAAAGTTCAGGGGGACAAGGGTGCCCAGAGCGACACCATGGGACCTGACCACCATGGCTCAGGAGGTCACTTCTCTAGGGTCCCACATCAGAAAGTTCGGCAAAAAAGGCTGCAAGTCCATCTGAGCAGGAAGTTGTGGCAAATCAACGAAGGAATGATCCCTCTGCGTGTACAGAGATCCTGGCTTACTGCCAAACGTGCTTTGCCACAGTCAGATACCCACACACAGCCGATAGTGGTAACGTGCTCCAAGGGGAAGAAAGTTTGGGTCAGCTCCACCCAGGACCTTTCCTTCCTGGATCCCAGAACTCGTCTCTTGCTGGAAAGACATATTGAAAACTATCAGTTAAGGCACAAGTGTGGGTTTCTCTTCCAGAACCTTCAGCCTAGAAGCATCCGCATAGGCAAGGCTCAAGCCTTGCCCCCTGCACAGCCTGCCTTCGCCGCCTCAGCTGCCTGTGACTCCAGGGCTGACTTCTCTGCCAAATTAGTCACTTTCCAACAAGAAATTCCTGGGAAAGTTCCAGGCCAGAAGGAGATAGCACAAAAGTCCTCTCCTAGTTGGCAGAGTCCTCTCCCTGCCACCAGGTCACATGCATGTAAGGAAGAGCGGGGAGCCTCCACTGGCACCCCATCTGATCACAATGGGCCCTCAGGCACGCTTCTAGGTGCACAGGGGGTGGAGCTTCTTTCTGCTGCCTGCACCCAGCAGAGCAACACTGTTCTCTGGATCAACAGAGGAAGCCCAGTGCCCACTCCAGGCCCTGCAGTGGCCAAGCATGACCCAGGGGAGGGGGCTGAGAAGATGGCCTTCAGAGGTACCTGCCATGGCTTCCCAATGCTGGAAATCAAACTGCTGTCCCCACTCTCAGTAGCCAAAGAGAGCAGGAATCCAGAGGCAGAGGAGAAGCAGCCTGCATGGGAAGTCACCATAGGGGGCAGCATGATGGAAAACGCTCAGAACATCAACATCAGCCTAAGGACTCTAGGGTCTCAGGACACCGGTAATCACTCCTCCCCCTCTAGAGATTCTGCTTACCACAACCAAGCTCAAGATGTGAAGACAGAAGTGCACAGCCACCTGGACATCAATACGTTCAGAGAGGGGGAGAGCTGCTCTCAGGATGTGACCGCTGGTAACCTTCAAGCCTCTCACACGGAGGGGCCCCTAGGCACTGGCACTGGTCCTTCCCAGGTCTCTCTGTCCAGCTCTCATGCCACACCCCAGAGTGACACGCCAACCTCGCAAGTCCCGTGTGATGCATCAGAGAGGGGAGTGAGCCATCAGAGTGAGCAGGAGCCCAGCATGTCCGGATTCCAGGACTCAGGGAACAGCAGCAGCAAGATGTCTGGCCCCACTATCCAAAGTAAGAGCTGCAGGAAGCCCAGGCCAGAAGACAAGGTGAAATCACTGGCAGGAGTGAGGCCCTCCCATGCCTATGAGCTGCACCCTCCTGCATGGGTCAGGGAAGTGAATTCCTATGGGAGCAGGTCCTCTCCATGCCTTCCAGAGAAGGGCAAGACTCCTACAGAAAGCCTAATTAATAAAAAGATGAAGCACTTTCTGCAGCGTCCTAATACCAATAGACAGTGTAAAGTGCAGGAAGGCTCCATGCAGAAACCTAGGTCCTTCTCAGCTCCTATTCAGAGCCTGGCACCAAGCGTGAATCGACTGCTCAGGAAGAAGGAGGACACAGAAGATCATGTGGGTCTGAAAGTTGCTGGACCAATTCTGGTGGATAAATCAGGGCTTCACCATGCAAATGTTCCTTCAGGGATAAACTTGCATGAGGCAGAGCCACTGGAACCTGAGGATAGGCATCCCTGCGACCACAGGGCTTCATCCAGCCCAGACAAGAGAACAATGGTAAAAGACATGGCTTGTGCTCATGATGACAGCCCCAGTGACCACAGCCATGCTGCTAAGGATATGTGGGTCACAGACAGGGACAGCAGTCAGGCCCTGCTGCCGTGAGAGCCTGCGCCCACCTCCAACCAAGGTCATCAGGCCAGTAGGCAAGGGCGCTTTAGATCACACTCAGCATCACTATGCAAACTCCCTCCAAAGAGCTGTCCTTTCTCAAATTCCACTAGCTTCTCATGCTTTTTCTTCTGAGACAAGCTTTTTTGCAGAAGAAATGTACTAAAGGAAAAATTGTTTTGTGAGCACACCTTGTATATGGTAATGGTTTCTTCCTCGTGAGATGTCTATTGTTTCCTAATATCTTTTCTGAGTTAGTAGCTTCTGGGTCCTACCTGGGTATGAGAAAGGATCAGCATGTGCTCTCTCCAGAGCAGCTTCTAGAGGGCATGAGGCTGTGGGTCTCTGAGGTCCCACCCTCGCCCTGGTTTCCATCATTGCACTTAAGCCTCCAGCATGTGTTCACTACACAAACCAGACAGCCACTGGATTAATCAAGATGACCCATCCCTACAAAGACCCCTCCCAGGATCTGGCTCAACCTGTGGTTCCCTTGTTTTCCCTCCATCTCCAACTTTGTGTAGTTCTGGGGTGGGTGCACAGAGGAAGCCCTGGGACAGTAGTTTCACATGTCACCATGTGGGCACAGGAATGTTGGATGGGTAGAGTGGAGGCCCTGGGTTCACAGGCAGCAGACTCTTTCCACCCTGGATTTTTGGTGATGGTCACAACACCTGCCTTGGTAGCCCCTGCTCTGCCTGATGCAGACTTCAATGGGCTTGCAGCCCATTTTATGTCAGTCTGGATGACATGGAAGTGTCACTCACCCCATTGCTGCCTTTGCTCTCTAGAGCAGCAGCGTAGGCTAGAACTTGCAGGTGAGCCTGTGGGTAGGTGGATGGTAGCTGCAGAGGAGCTGTGGACAACTGTGTCATCCTTGCCCAAGGTCACATGCTTTCCTTCAGAGGAGGGAGAGGCCTGCGTGTAGGAATCTCACAAAGACAGCACATGGTGCAGCCAGAGTGAAACATAGGAAAATAATTCCAAAAGGTGCAGCCAAGGAAAAAGGCAGGGTGTCCTTTGAGTGCCAGAAAGGGTGCTATGTGTGGGAAGCCCCTACTCACCCAGCGCCATGAACCAACCTGGAGAAAGGAGACACCATGGCTGAGCTGCTCACCCTGACCCAGCCTAGGCCCTTGCAACTCTGGCTCCCAGACCACAGGCCTGGAGAAGCTCCTTTAGCTCTGATGTAGATCCAAGAGGAAGTAGAGCCTTCAAGCAGGAAGATGGCCTTCCTGATAGTATATTTAATTAGTCTGTATGTCTTCTTGTCTTGAACTCCAGAAAGAACTAGGTGACAAAATATGGAAAACTTGGAGCTCAGAGAGACAGGAATGTGTCTTCCAGCTGGTGATGCTACATGTAGATGTGACAACATTTCTTCTAGAGAGAGAGCAGGTGTTAACACAGCTGCAGTCCTGGCATGGGTTGGAAGGCAGATTCCTAGACCAAGTCCTGGCTTGTACCGTGGGACAGCAGGAGAAAAGGCAACCAGACAGGATTTACACATGCAAGCGGAAATCATCTCTTCAAAATGAAGGATCTCTGTGAGTGTGGGGACAGACCATGGACGGCCAACCCTGAGCCTCATCCTGCTTTCATCAAAGGGTTCCTCTTCCTGAAACCTATTGACATAGGGAAGTCAGAGGCCCCAACACAGGGGGATGAGGGGTGGGTCAGTTAGCATTTGGTCACCAAGCAACCTGAGAAAACCAACTGCAAGGGGGAAAGTTTATTTCTGGTCAGTTTTAGTGGATAGCCAGGTAGCTGCATTCCTGACAGGCAACCACATGTGGGGCTGTGTGGCCCCTCAGCATGTGAATGGACGTCCTACAGACCTGTCATGGTTCTGGCTCACCTGAGGACCATTTTGGGCTCCAGTGCATGCCAAGATGCAAGAGAAAACCACATAAACAGGTTCAGGAATGTTAGGGTGAAGATACTGGGTGCAGACTCTAGGACTATGGAGGAGACAAGGTACACACAGGACAATGCTGATGGACAGGCCACAGTGAAAGGGAACAGTGTTTGGGTGTTTTGGTGTTTCCTGTTGTCACTGGTCCTGTCCTTCATGAGGGGCAGTAAGGTCAGTGACAGAGAAGCTAGAAAGATTTCTATTGAGTCTCCAACAGAGACATCCACAGGGGTCCACAATGACAAAATCCCAGAATAATGTCCAGAGGCCTTGACACACTACCGAGAGAGCTCCCTGGGTTCTGAGAGCTCTCCAGATCGACTGCATTCCCTGACAGACACCCACTGTGAGTGATCCCTGAAAGGAGCCCTCCCAAAAATCTTCCATAAGATATACATGAACACTAACAGAGACTTTTAGAAATCCATAGAGACCAACAGAGAGATTCCACAACACAGAATCTCTACACTGGAACTCTAGAGAAAACTATGTTGGCAGACCCAAAACAAAACCCACATTAAGACTTACAGAGCTTTTTGTCTCAGTTGCCGACATGCCTTCCAGACTAAGGAAGACCCAGAAGCTTTGGGGTCATGTGAGCCACAGTCATGGCCACATTGGCAAGCACCGGAAGCACCCTGGAGGCCAGGGTAACACTGGTGGTATGCATCATCACAGGATCAACTTCGACAAATATCACCCAGGTTACTTTGGTTGGTATGAGGCATTACCACTTAAAGAGAGACCAGAGCTTCTGCCCAACTGTCAACCTTGATAAATTGTGGACATTGGTTGATGAGCAGACATGAGTAAATGACAGAAACAAGATTGGAGCAGCTCCCATCACTGATGTAGTGCGATTGGGCTACTGCAGAGTTCTTGGGAAGGGAAAGCTCCCAATGCAGCCTGTCAACGTGAAAGCCAAATTCTTCAGCAGAAGAGCTGAAAAGATTAAGGGTGTTAGGGGGACCTGTGTCCTGGTACCTTGAAGCCACTGGACGGGGTCTCATTACAATGATAACAAATGGTTTTCATTAAAAAAAAAAAAAAAAGACTTACAGAGACCCCCACAAAGAGATGCACAGAGATTTCATGAATTCTTTGACACAGTTTGACAATCAGAGAAGCCCCAGGCTCCAAAAGGAATGCAAATGGAAACTGTCCTAGAAATGTACATGAATTTCCACAGAAACCTCCAGATATCTAAAGACTCAAGAGAATTAATGACCCACCCGTAAAGACCCACCATCTATAAAACCTACGTTTAATAAACCTTAACCAATACACATCCTGAGACTGTCTTGGAGACCTACACTTAGAGGCTTTCCCAAAACCTCTCAGATCTCCACAGAGATATACAATGTCCCTTAAGAGCCTACTTGAGATTCCCATACAGGACCCCAAAGATCTTTCCAGATAAGCCCACAATGGCACAATCACAGAGACCCCCTTTGAGGCCACTAAAGAATACAGATTCGCTTGTCAGGAGTACCTCCAGAAATCACACACAGAGAACTTTCATAGAAAGCTTCATACAGAGAATCCCTGTTCATTCTGTCTTCCTAGTAGATTGAACCCCCAGAGCCAGCGGGCATCACAAGAACAGACAACATCAGCAGTGGCCTTCACCCTACACCATGATATTGCAGGCAGCGGAGTGAGATAGAAACATTACAGGCAGTCAGACAGGGCCAGGCCCTCGAAGGAGACAGCACAGAAGATGAGATGCCTCACAAGTGGGAGGGGCGGATGCTCCTGCTGTGAACGAGACCTAAAGACCTAAAGGTCAAACAAATGCTAAAAGATTAGCACCTAGGTTTGATATTCTAAATAGGTATCCATCACCTGGAAAGACCCAAGTGAGTCACTAGCCCAACCCCCAACAAAAGAGACCTTGTCCCGCATTCCAACTCCCAACAGGGAGAGACCCTGTCCCATATTCATGCCTGCTTGCTATGTGACTCACTTTCCCATTTGATACTGGATTTAATCAGTTTTACCTGAGCAATGGTGCTTGTAATCCCATTGGTTGACCATAGTTTTTTCCCACCTCCTGCCCACCTAAGCAAGTTCCCATTCTCTCTACCTTAGCCCCACAAGGTTTTACACTATTAAAGTCTCTGAAGGAGACAGCTTCCCGGGGGGAACTACCCGCTTGCCCCCCCTCCTGTTCCTCTCTCAGACAGGAGCTTTCTTTCTCTCAATAAATATATTCTGCTCATAACCTCCGTTTGTTCCTAAAATTCATTCTTCGGTTTTAGAGAACACAAACTCGTGCAGGTCAGGTAGGGAGATTGTTTTTCTCTGTCATTTGGAGGTTCCCTATATGGTTTGGAGGTCACCCACCCGAGACCAGTTTTTCTCCCTGTATCAATGACACTCAGACATTGTCAACATGGCCCCATGGGGGGAGGATGACTTTGTCTTCTTTTGTAATGCGAGTGCCTCAAATAGAATAATCACAGATTCTACCCAGAGACCAGCTAACTTCTTCCCTGTGCAGGATTTGTGAGGCTCTGACCCCACAGTGCAGGGAATGCCAGTGAAATGCCACCCACTTTCAGGGAGAGAAAATATGTGTTTTGTCTGGTTTTACTTATCATTAAACTGAAAAGTATCAGTGTCACATTTTTGGTTTTAATTTCACTGGAAACAAGATCTGAACTCAAGATGGCTGTGCACTTTGGTAATAAGATGAAGACCTGCAGGAAATGGTGTAGAATGAAGTAACCCATCATGAAGGTCCTGGACTCACTTCACCTCTCCGGGGCTCAAGCTGCCCCAATTGCACTCTGCACAGAATAGCAGTGCCAGCTGTGTGGGGTTTGCGGAAGTTTCAATTGAAACACGCCGAGGATCATGGGAAGTGTATTTAGAAACGCAGCAGGAGAATAATATTCCTATTTTGTCTTCTAGCAAAATTAAGCCTAACCCTCAGTAATAATCTCTTCCTTAATAGATAGTAATCCCAGGAACTGATACGGTGCACATTCCTAGAACGTGAGAGCCTTAATGCTCTGGTAGTTTAATTTAAGCATGCAGATGATACAAGGAGAAAAACTGGTCTCAGTTGGGTGACCTCCAAACAATATAGGGAACCTCCAACTGACATAGGGCTCTGGACCTGACCTGCACGAGTTCGTGTTCTCTAAAACCGAAGAATGAATTTTAGGAACAAATGGAGGTTATGAGCAGAATATATTTATTGAGAGAAAGAAAGTTCCTGTCTGAGAAAGGGATGGGGGTGGGGGTGGGGTGGGGGCCTGTGCGGGTATCCCCCCTC